GAGGAGGAGGAGGGAGGAACAGCAGAAGCCGCCTGGGAGTAGCAGAGCTTGAAAGGAAGAAATAAATATTAATCCAGTGGAAGAGCATGCGTCCCTGTAAAGCATCACCAGCCCGTGCCCAGCCCCCCGGCGAAGGGACTGCCATCCCTGGGGCCGGGCGATGCTGCCCGGGTGGTGCCTGCTCTGCCCGGCTCCAAGCCGAAGAGCGGGGCTGCTGATGGACCCAGCGCCGTGCCCGCTGCCCTCGAGCAACAGCTTCCCGTTTAATTTACTTGCTGGTGAATTTGATCCAAACTTCTGCAACCAAATCATAGCAAGCATAATGCAATATCTTTCTCTTGTGATTGTGTTAAGCTGGGTAGTGCTGGCTAATTGAATCTGGGGCGCTTGCCGCTTAATTACGAAAGGTCAGGCTCTGCCGAGCGCGGGCAGGTAGCAGGGGGATCGCCCGTGGTGGGAAGGGGGCTGAGGGCCCTTGCTCTGTGCAAAGGCTCCTGTTCCGAACAAGTGAGTGACTTCTGGACATTTTCCTTTTTTTTTTCTGGTGCTCTTTATCTTATAAATTTAAAGAGTTGGGTTACAACTAAAGCATGGCTGGATATTTCTGTGTGGCAGAAACGGATTTTTCCGCATTTCCGCTGCCTGTCTTGATCAAGTTGATGGTAAAAATATGGATTTTTTAAGAATAAGATGGGGTGAGCCGGTGACGCTGAAAAGCGAGGACTCTTTCTCTGACACCCGTGGGATGGAGCGGATGGGGTGCTCACCCGCCGTGTGCGTGTGAACCCCGTTATTGACTGCCTTTAGACGTCAGCCCTGCGTGTCCCTCCTGCTGGGCGCGAGGAGAGGGCAGGACCCCCCAGGGCCAGCTCCACTCCCGGCAAATGTTTCTCTCATGCAATAGGGTGGGTGGGGAGACGGCAGCGGGGTCAGACCCACCGGCCGTGCTACTGCTACCCTTTGCCCCGAGTATTTGCCTCCTCCTCCTCGCCTTAGCTGCTGGCCGAGGCCCAGCACGGTCTCCGGTGCTTCCCAAAGCCCCTTTGCCCCTTCGCTGCCTGCGCAGCAGCGGTGAGGGGCGTTCAATAAAGCACCTTCTGCTTTTGCTAATTGAAGAGTTTCTCTTTGTCAGCCTCTCTGCTCAAAGGAGGGTCGGTACAAAGCCGTAGCCATCAGCACTTTGTGTGCCTCTGAAAATCCCATTAGCCGAAGAAAGAGCTTGAAGTTTAATTAAACTGGAAAAAAAAAAAAAAAGGAAAAAAAAAAAAAAAACCCCCCCCCCCAACC